AAAGCCACTTTTTGTAGAGTATTGTTTTATTACATGTAATCATGTGAAGTAAACAAATTCAATATATCACTTATTTTAATGGGACTTTGATTAATATACCATTATTGCATAAAAACAGTCTACATGATGAGTTGCTGCAGGCACTTGAGAGTATCGTTTGGTCTGAATCAGTATGTGCCATTTTCACAATGTATCCCCAATGAATACATAAGAATCTGGTATAAAATGGATTAGCTGTAATAGATCAAACAATGAAAAATTATATATCCTATTAACCACATTTTGTCATTGAATACTGTATCATTTTGATGTCTTAACGTTACTATTTGTGGAGCTAGTGAATGACCACATCCTTTATCAATCTAGTTTTACTTTGATTAAAGTAACTTGCCCATTCATTTATCTGTATGAAGACTTACCATTTTGAAATTTAACCATAATAGTTTTGACCCAATAGAAAATTTATATGTGAATACTACATTAATGCCTGGACTCCATCCATCAAACACCCTCGGTTGAGGTTTCAATCAGAGCCTGCTGATAATTAATTCTATTTATTATAAACAGCACATTTCCTGGGGGTTTCAAATTTCATTTTGCATTAAAATCTTTGTTGTAATTGCTGTCATTCTCTTCTTGTTTTCCTCTAATTATTCTGATTAGTGAAAATTCTCAATTATTCAGGGACTGTATATTTAATCTTTGGATTTTCCAAATCCTCTTTTGAATTCAATCTTTTATTGTGCATTCATAACCATTTAAATGTTTCCTATTTTTGTAATTTTGCCAGATGACAAATGACAGTAGAATGAAGTTTACTTCACAACGAAGTTTGCTATTTCTGCACTTCTTTCAGAAATCTGATCTCCATGAATGCATAAAATAAAAATTTTAACTATTTGTGCATTTTAATCCTGTTTAACCATTATACTGTATATACAGTTTAAAGTCAAAACTTCACATACTATATTTCTTTCTTACAGTAATTTCATATCGCATGTATAATTACTATTGAGAAATACTTATAATTTAAAAAACAAAGCTGCAAGTTACTTTTAGAGGCTGAGAGTCACACCATACAGCGCCACCTATTACTACGCTGCACAAAGCTTGAAATAATGGAAGCTGAAAGACTGCTCACAAATTTGAGGACTGAATACATGCACTAGTCCTCAGATTCTGACATTAAGCTGAAAATAGAGGCTAAAGGCTGTCAAATACTATACCAAAATAAGCAGTGGTTTATCACAGATGAATATACTTAGGAATTTGATAACCCAGTAATTTAAGAAATTAAGAAAAAAAAAAAAAAGACCTGCCCAAAGAAATTGTGACAGAGGCAAAATGTACTCATAGGGACCCTAATCTTCATTTATTGCTTCTTTAGCTGACTTCTGGCCTTCTTGGCCTTAAGATGTTTTGATGGTGTTCTGTGTGAAAAGTAGCCGTTGTTCCCATTCCTACCCTACCCAATCACCTTCTTACCTCCAGTAGCTATCAACTATTTTCCTTCCACTCCACACAGCTCGGAATTTGTATTCTTCCTTTCCTATTTCACCTTCGTAGTGACCAAAATTATTTTCTTTCCCTGTAAAGAAAATCTTGGCATTGGAAAAAAATAAAAATCTATAAACTCCACGGAATTTTTAAATTGTGTTTTAACAGGAATTTCTGGAAACTCAGCAAAGGACAAAATGTCCTGCTACAATGCCTATTTCTGCAAAATAAATCAACACAAACTCAACTGCGAAGTAGAAAAGCAATATCCATATATAGAATGGAAGTTGGTTGATTCACGTAGATCATTTCCATCAATATCTGGCATTGAACACAAATGGTATCAACTCAGATGAACGCAGCAAGTCAAGGAGGAATGAATTATCTTATAGTCTTCCTCTTGGCTGTTTGGCCACATTGTCTCTTAGAAACGTCTGTGTCTCTGAATTTTGCTTGTAAAAGTCTTCCTTATTTTCTCCCATCAAGTTGTATTTCCCTAATGTTTATCAGAATTTATTTAATAAATTATTTATTTTTGGTTTTCCGAGACAGGCTCGCTTTGTATTTCCTGTTGGCTTCAAACTTTTGGTGATTCCCCTGCTACAGCCTCCAGAGTGCTGGGGTTAAAGGCATGCACCACCATGTCTAGCGATAAACTATTAGAATTAGTACTGTTTCCTTAGTACTTACAAAATTATATACATTTTGAGGGTTCATCCACCCCATTTCTCTTGGGTCTTTATCTTTTTTTTTTTTGGTACCAGGGATTGAACTCGGGTCCTTAGGCTTGCAAGGCAGGCCACCGGACCGCTGAGCTAAATCCCCAGCCCTCTTAGGTTATTTGTAGTGAACAGTTTTGAAGAATGTGAAGGTTTCTCATGAACACATGTATCATTATTGTAGAAATGCCTGTGAAGTTTTTTAAAATGTGGACATTGTTTCCTTTCATCCCTGTTTTCCTTCTTTTTCTTTTTCTTTTCAGGAGCAGCCTGAAAATAATTTTTTCCCCCCAAGTTCTCTTCATATTGCTTACAGCTGTGCAATACAGATTTCTGGGTCTTCTGGTATTTTTACCAGTAATGATAAATTTAATTACGAAAGGGTCTAAAAGAGCATGATTCCAGTATTACTGTTCATGTCTTAGTTTATTAAAAGCAGGTCCAAGATGTTTTTGTTTCAAGTATCTTTTTCAGTAAGTATGTGTCCTATTTTGTGGGACTGCCTACTTATTCCACATGCCTCTTTATTTCCACTTTAAACTTTTACCACCTTCTTGGAAAAGGTTCAGAAACCTACAACTCTTCATGCTATTTTTAAGATTTAATCAAGGCCTCTTCTAGACTTTAGGAAAAGGTGCAAAACATTGCATTTTCCTCAAGATTGTATATCTGTTTTCACATATTCAAAAATCTTGTGTCTGTAAAATGTAAATTTCCCCTAAGTTCTGAAAAAGGATGAGATCAATCAGACACATCCAAAGAAAAAATCTGGGACAAATACATTTTGCAGAGAATAAATGGGGCATCTCAGAGCCCTCTGCCCCCGCCCCACCTTTTTTAGACCAGGGATGGAGCTCAGGACCTACTGCTTGCAAGGCAGGGGGTGTCACCACTGAGCTAAAGCCCTGGCCCTTTGGCCCCTTTTCTAACCTCCCTGCCCTCAAACCTTCTGTAGGTATTCCAGGAAGTAGGAAAATATTTTAATGCCAAAAGGAATTAGAAAAGAACAAGGTTACACAGATTCTAACAAAATATATTTATTACAAGTGAGAAAGGCCAAATAAGGAAAAAAAATTGGAACATGGAAACAGAGCCAAACAGAAAGCTTAAAAAAGCCCAAGTGAGGCTTTCTAAGAGCCAATGTGAAGTTGGGCATGGTGGTGCATGCCTGTAATCCCAGCACTCGGGAGGCTGAGGCAGGAGGATTGCTGTGAGTTCAATCAGCCTGGGTGTGAGGCTTTCTAAGAGCCAATGTGAAGTTGGGCATGGTGGTGCATGCCTGTAATCCCAGCACTCGGGAGGCTGAGGCAGGAGGATTGCTGTGAGTTCAAGATCAGCCTGGGCTACATGGTGAGTTCCAACTACATAGTGAGACCCTGTCTCAAAAAACAAAAACAAAACAAAAAAAGCCAACGTGAAAAGGGTCATCTATCCAATGTGCTACGTCTATAATCAAACAAACCAGTTTAGAGGATACTGGCTTATTTCCAGATAATATTAATTTTTGATGACATAAGTAATATTTTGTACGTGGGAAGTCTTACAAAGCTGTCCTCTCAACTGTGCGTCAATAGATTTAAACTGGAATGAGGCTCATTTCAGGCTCAAGAATGTATGTAAACTGTTACATGTAATTTTATTTCCCCTAGTAGGATATACTTTGAGGGTAGGATGTGCATATTTATCATAGAACGTCAGTGTTACACAGTTGATTAAAGTTAAGTTCATAAATGCATAAAAAGATGAATACATTGAGGAGGGTGGTCTTTTTGTTAACAAAATGTTCCCTAAAATTCATCTCTTCTCAGTACTGGAGGGTACGCAGTATGAAGGTAAAAACAAGACTGGCCCTAAGCAGAATGGTAGGCAGTTATTTGCTGCAGGTATGTTTTATATTCACCTTCTTGAACTTCTGATCATTTTCAGTGTCCCTTTTAGACTTGTCCGAATCCTCTCTGTCCTCCATCACCAAGTACCTATGGTCAGAGTTCATCTACCTTTAGTAATTCGGTTTTCTGGGGACCTCAAAGAGCACTGAATTTCATTCTAAGCTGTTAGGGAAACAGGCATAGGATATTTCAGCAAGTGCCTTGTATTTGTCATTGTTCAGATACCATATACTGTCAGTTGGGTCTTGAGGCCTAAGAGGCAGATTTGCAATGAGATTTCCTAAGGCGAATCTTTTCCCTTTCCTTCATTCACTGAATGACAAAAACTTGTTACACATTCAGGAGATACGTTATTTTTCTGTCTTTAACTGAAGTGTAGATTAATATAATGAAAAAAATTGTTTTTGGGGTTAGGAAGTGAAAATCTTATGTTCAGGATTTAACTGTGAAGAATTAGTTATGGAACCTTAGGCAAATCTGTCAGCATCGGTGTAAACCATTTTCTAATATATAAAGCCAAGAGATAACTAGCCCTCCTTCCTAACACCAAGACCATTCCACTGGTTAGCCCATTATCACTTATTTTATTTAGCAGCTTATCTTATGAAGGCATTTATCTTGAGGTAGAATCTAGTTCTACCGATTTGTATCCTGAATGCTTATCACAAGGACTATTACACTGTATACTTAATAAAACGTTCTTTGGCCCAATAAATTAAAGAAAATATTTACAGAATTTCACAGTGCTAAATAAACTGAAGCTGTTTGGGGGACGCAGGTAGAATTTTACTGTTTTCCTCTCCTCTGGGCCCAGCTGTTCCTCTCAGTGATCCTAATGGCCTCAAGCCATCAGTTCCAGTTGTCAGATTGGGCAGTGCCTGGATTCTGATACATCTTACGCTTTCATTCTGCTGGAGGCATCCTTACTCCAAAGATCTCAGTTTTGCTTCAGATCATCTGGTGTCCAGTATCACATTCTTTTTGTACAGCCATGCTACGAAGCTATACCTGCAAAAAAACCAAAAATGTTGAATTATTTACACGGTAACCCAGTTTATATGTATCCACATGCTCCAGGTTTGCATGACTTTTATATAATTACAATACTGAGGCGTTACGGAGATCTTATTATGTACCATATACCATATTAAATCACTGTATCCTCATATTTTCATGGAGTAGGTACCACTGTTATCTCCATTTTGCACATGAAGACTCTGAAGGGGAAAAAAAAAAAAAAGAGGTAGCCTTCTGACCAATGATACAGTATAGCTGTTTTCATAACATTTTTATTTTGGGAAAGAGTAAAAAGATCCTTCAAGCTTACTTTGCTACTTACTCTTTCAGTTTTCTAAGTTTTAAATGCGATTTCTTTTGAGTGATTATACTGGTAATGAGAACTGTAGAGGTTATATTTATAAAATATGTAAAACATTGAATTCAGAGCAATGCTTTCATTTGGTCACATAGTAAAGGGTTGCTATAAAACGTTTAAAGAAACAGAATCAACAGATACCTACTCAAATCACACTGAAATTCTTAAAAGTTTGATTTAAAATAACTATTTTGGGTGGGGAAATTTAGCTTAGCGGTTCCAGCAGCTGCTTCGCAAGCACAAGGACCTGAGTTTGATCCCAGGTACCAAAAAAAAAAACAAAGCACAAGAAAACAAAACCTAAAATAACTATTTTACCTCTAGCTTAAATCTCCCTTCCTAGAACGTAGCATTTACACAAGATAACTCTCTTGGTATCAAAATGGTTTTTACTGCTTGCTAGCCAATTATGTTGCAGAACTGATTTTGTATGTTTCCCTTCATAAATGATTTCACTACATACCACCAAATTTTAGCAAGTTATACTACTTAACTACATACACACAAAAAAAATGCAGTTAGATGTCAGAATACTTAAGGACACCATTTTTTTCACACTTGTTTCTATTAGGATACAAGCTACAATACAAAAACCATACCATAAGCATAATTTGAATTGCCATGTTAACCTGTGTCCCACCCAATAGGGTTTTAACACTTAAGGACTGACCATCACAACTCATACACAATACACAAATTTCTTCATCTATAAAAACAGTGGAAATGCCAATGTTTTATTTGCCACAGAGATAAGGAGACATCAGTGAAATAAACTTGGTAACATGACTCACACTTCATTACAAGTGATTTTCCCAAATTCACAACTTTCACATTTGACTGAGCTAAAAAGATTAGAGTAAAACTGTAAAAAAGAACTTTCACTGGATAAAAGTAGGCCAAGTCACATGATTCCTCCAAATGAGAAAGTGCACACTTCTCTAGCTGGGAAAGTATTTTCTTTAACTTTGTGGACTTAAGCAATTTTAAGAATCCAAGCTACTTGTTTTTCTCTTATGTTCCCTTTGACCTTCTTAGATATGCTGTGTAATTACAAAAAACACATTTTACTTAATGGATTCATGTGCTCATCAATTTTTGCACCCTCAGGATGTAGTAAGAGCAGGGCTAAACTATTTCACCTCTTCCCTTTCATTACCAGTAGTAAAGTTTACTTAGGAAACAAGGAGGAACAAATACTCCCAGCCCACAGGCGTGCCTAGAAATGCATGGAATTCAAAGTCAGAGAAAGTATGGTTCCAAGGAGACATGAAGTGATACTGGAAATTGTGGGGCTCTAACTGAACCCTTTTACCCCTCTCCCACCTTCAGACCTAGTTAAGGTGTAACACGTCAGGTTTGCCCGTGGACCCTTCTTAAATTGACATTTTTTACCCATTTTTCCTGTGAAACAAGAGAAATAGAACAAGTGCTTGCTTGTTTCATACCACATGCTCTGAGGCTTAAAAGCCCTTGAAAAGCATACTACATCCTCCCAGGGGGAAATCACTTTTTCATTGCCAGAAGACTCTCCTCAATCGGAGACTGAAGTCAATCTCCCTCCTTAGGAACCAAAGGAAAAGAGATTTTGTCCCCTACTTGTAAATGGGATCTCCCTTTCTCCTCCGACCTCCCAAAGTCTCCTACACAGGCTAGGCTGCCTTAGGAGATGGCTGGGAGAAAAGGCAACGCTCAGTCCTCCATAGCAAAGTCTTTGGTCTTTTCCTCCTGGTCCCCCACTTTGTAGCGCAGCAGTATACGCAGGCGTCGGGGGTTGTCCACGGAGGGCAGCAGCGTGATCTCCCCTGAAACGTCCGTGTCCTGCTCCACTTGTACTGGCTCGTTCAGGTAGAGGAGAGCCTGCTTCCAGTGCGTGGCCGGGTGAAAAGGCGAAGTGGACAGCACGAGGGGTTTCTCCGATTCCCCTCCTGGGAAGGTCACCTGGAACCAGACCGCAAAACCATGCATGGGCGCCGAGCCATAGCAGCTGCAGCGGAAGCGCCCGCCCACCCCGGCCTCCAGCTCCTGCCCTAGGCCGGCGTGGGCCAAATCGAGCTGAGCAAAGCGCTGAGGCCGGGCCAGTACGTCTTCACCCGACAGACCCTGTACCACGATCTCAGAGTGGCCCATGAGGCAGCGCGTGGCGAAGCTCTCCATGCAGCTCATGTCCACGCCGTAGTGTTGCTTCACCTGGCTCCAGAAGCCTAGGCGCCATTCCAGCATCTGGTCACTGATAGGAGCTATGAAGAGCTCGGCGGAAGCCGGCAGGAGGAGGCCGCCCTCCTTCAGCCACTTGGTCCGCGCGTGGAGCACAGAGCTCAGCATGGACTCGTGCAGCAGCCCGTATCCCATCCACTCGCTCACGATGGCATCCACCCGCTCCGGCAACTCCACTGTCTCTACCGGGCCGGGCAGGACTTGCACGCGGTCCTCCAGCCCGTTCAGCCGCACCACCTCCCGGGCCTGTTGCCAGATGTCGCTGGCCTCCACCGCGTACACTCGCCGGGCCCCGGCCTGGGCACAGAAGATGCTCAGAATGCCGGTGCCCGCGCCTACGTCCAGCACCGTCTTGCCTCGCAGCGATGCCCAGTTGCGTAGAATGCCCAGGCGGTAGGCGTCTGTGCGGACACGGTCCGCGATCATCTCCTCGTGGACCGACACGTCCGAGTAGCACTCGTAGTACAGCTGGTCCCTCTCGCGCTTAGTCCTCCGCGGTCGCTGCGGGGCCACCTCGAACTCTCCACCATCTTCCTCTCCGGCTCCCTCCCCTCCTTCACCGCCGCCCCCCGACTCAAGCCTTCTTTTTTTGGGCTGCGACATCTTGCCAGCTGCGGCCGGTTCCCGTCGGGCTTTGCGCGGCTCGGCGCGGTCTCCCTGCCGGGGCTGATGGGAATTGTAGTTCGCGCGTGCGCTTCTCTCGGGTCGCGCCAGGTCCCGCCCTGCGGTCCCTCCGCCCCGCCGGCTGCTCTAGTGTTCAGCGTCCGGAGTTTTAGAATTCCCTTCCCCACCCGCCACACCTAGGCTCTCTGATTCGTAGTATCCAGCGCCCTTCCCCTCATCCCCTTTTGCTTTCATTCTTTCTTCCGGAAGGAGGCACGCCCACTTAAGACTAGAAACACACCTTTGCCGTGTCGGCTCGCCTCACCTGTCTTACTCCACCGAATCGTGGCTCCCTTCGTGCACCACCTTACGTGGCGATTTGGAACTTGCTATTCCTTTCAGTGGAGTTAGGGTCTAAAGAAAGTGAAAATGGGACTAACTAAAAACCTAACCGTGCAAAACCATGGTTCTTATTCTAACGTGACCACTTCATAAACTGAATAGTTTAGGTCTTGGATTAAAATCACCCATTCTTCGACCAGCAACAAGCCATCTTTACAAGAATTATGTTTCTGCTCTCTGTTCAAGAGAATAGTTACTTGGCTCTAGGGTCTCCTCTGATAGTTGTGTGGCTCATTCAAGATTTAAATCACGCAGTTAAAAAGCAACAGTGATGTGATACAAATCCACTGCCTCTGTATTTTGGTAACCCCTTATGTTTTTCTGCCCCAGAAGTAACGAAGTGCTTTATGATGTTTCTTTGTGTGCTTTTTTAATTTTCCCACTGCGCATCATTTTTCCCCCCTGGGTGTTTCCTTGAGTTGGCAAGATTGCTATCCATTTCTTCCTCTATTTTTCAGTCAACCATCAACTGTTACTCTCTTCTTTGCTGTACATAATGGAAATAAAAAATATTTTTAAATGGGCCATGTCTATGTTATGAGCGTATCAATAAGTGAGATGAGAGTAACGTTTTCTCTTAGCTTAACAATAATCACCAAAAGAAAACGAAATTTTACTTTCCCCTGGTGTTAGAATATATCTATTTAACCAATGGGCAGACTGTATTTTTAGTGTGGGGGAAGAATTCTCCCCCATTCTATTAATCCATTCCATTCTATTCTATTAATCTTTCATTAATAGATTAGGTTTATTGATGTGACATGCTCAGTTCTGCTTGTGACATCAGACTCCGGATCCTGGCTGTTCATTAGAATCCTCTAAGGAGCTTTTAAAAAACACCTATGCCTCGGTCCACCTCAGACCAATTAAATCTCAACCCCTGTGGTGAAATTTAGGTTTGTAGTTCTTAAAAGTGCCTAAGGGAATTCTAGGGTACTTGCGGGCCAGAGCTGCTGTTTCTCACTGAAATGATTTTAGTTAGATCTTTCATTCTTATTTTCATTGGGTGAATTCTGTTTTTTTTTTTTTTTTTTTT